CCGCCCCCCCCACCTGGCCCCCGTGCCGACGCCTCCCCGGCCGAAAAGGTGCGGGCCGCCAACCACGCGCGCGGCACCCCCCTCCGTCGGGCGCCCTCGCTCAGTTGAGCGCCCCGCGGCCGCCCGGCCGGCCCCTGGGTCGGGATTCAGCGCGGCCGCGCGCCCTGAGAGGCGGCGCCGCGGCCGCCGTGTGTGTGACTCTACTGTGTGTGCGCGTTGGCGCGTGTCCACGTCGCCCCCCGGTCCGCATTGGCCCACGCAGCTCGTGCCGCGGGGCCAAGCTCGACTCAGTTGGTTCGATCCTCATGTTTGTGTCTGAACGCGCGCGCGCCGGCGCCGCCGCCGCCGCCGCGGGTTGTGATATTTGCAGTGGGGCGCGCCCCGCCCCGTGGTGCGCCCGCCGTTGCCTTGTGCCTTTGCGCAGCCCTGATGACCCACGAGAGGGGACCCGAGCGCCGCCCGTCTGCAGATCGTTTGCGCGGGCGGGCCCTGCTGCCCTGATTGCTGCCACAACGCCATAAAACATGAAACGCCCCGATCCGCCCGTTCGACCGGAGGAGCACTGTAACACACCCCTGCTTTCATTGTCGACAGCCGGAGCGCTTTACAGCAGCCGGGGCTGGCGCGCGGCGCTACGACAAGGCAGCGGGTGCAGCAGTGCGACGCTGCCTCACCGCTGCCGCATCTTATGAAGCGGCGGCACACCAAGTTTCACGCCGGACCACGACTCATCACGCACACGGCATGTCTTTTGTAATTCCCAAAGCTGAGCCCTCTCGTGCGGCCCCGCACGTCAGGGCCAGGCGCCGGCGCGGCCGGGGCCCGCGGCCCTCCGCCGCGGCGCCTACTCTTCAGCGGGGGGCGGCCGCCTGATGACGAGCGTGACCGTCTTAAAGCCCCAGCGCTCGTTGTTGCTCTTGAGGGCGCTCATCACCGTCTCAAACTTGAGGCCCTCCGTGTCGATCATGATCTCCTGGGGGGCGGGCGGTGGGAGGGCGGTTGGTTGGAGGGCGGCTGGAGGGCGGTTGGTTCGAGGGCGGCTGGAGGGCGGTTGGCAGGGTGGTTGGTAGTTGTGGTCCACAGCAGCCATCGCCGTGGGTGCGAAAGCTGCCGCGGCAGCGAAAGCCCCAGCCCACAGCGGCAGCTTCCGCGGCGGCGTCTTGAGGGTGCAGCGGCGCTGTACCCGCGCCAGCGGGTACAGCTGCGTGGCCCTCACCCACGCCGCCGCTGCTGCTGCTCGCAAAGGGCTGAGGGGCCGGCCAGCACCCGCATTCGGCGGCCGCCTCCTTGCAGCGCAGCCCTGCAGGCCGCCCCGCCCACGTGCCCTCCTGCCTATGTGGCCCCGTGTGCACTCCCTCCCCTTGATTGCCGCCCGGTCACCTCCCAGTTGTCATAGGGCCTGTCGCCATGCCCCACCCTCTCATACCGGCCCTCCTTGCCAGCCTGTTGGAACAGAGGGGATCCCGAGCAGCTGGTGAGCTACAGGTGGGTTGGAATGAGAGGGAGGAAAAGGCAGGACCAGCCCGGCTCGCATGGCGCAGGCTGGCAACCACGGGCGTGTCCGTTGGTAGCGGCCGCTCTGGGGTGTGTCCCGCAAGCCAGCACGCAGCCGCACGGCAGGGGCCCAGCTGCAGCGGCAGGGCGGGAGTGGCCGCCGAGTAGAGCGCCCACCTTGAGGGTGACGGCGCTGCAGCGGTTGAGAATGTCCCCGGGCTGGAGTGGGTTTGGGGGGAGAGAGAGATCGTAGGGGGGGCAGCGGGGTGGGCGAAGCGGACGAACGGGCTTGGCCCAGGCTTGGTGGGCGCTCCAGCCCCATGCAAGGCGCAGTTGGAGGAGTGGTGGCCAACAGCAGGACGGCTGCGCAGTGTTTGCCGCTCGCCCGCTTGGTGCCCTTTGCAGCGAGCAGCCCGGGTTCCGAGGGTGGTGGCGAACGCAGAAGCATCTGGGCGGCGTGTGAGCAAGCGGGGCGTGCACCTGCCCGCCTGGCGCCCCACCTTGATGCCGGCCTTGTCGGCGTTGCCGCCAGGCACCACACTCTCGATGAACACGGGGCCGCCCTCCTTCTGTGAAAACACGACGCCCACCGGCTTGGGCAGCGTCGCCACCAGCCGCTGACCGGGCAGGCTGGCGGCGGCGCTGCCGCCGCTGCTGCTGGCGGCGCCCTCCGCGGCGGCGTCTGGCGCGGCCGCCGAGGGCCGCCAGGCGGGGGCTGCCCGCTGCCGGCGCCGGAGGGCTGCGTTGCGCCGGGAAGTGCGACCACGAGATTCAACGCACGTTGAAGCGACACCAGCAATACAGGAAGAAAATGAAGAACTGTTTGGTGGCTCGCGTTTTGCGCGCGTGCAGTTGCGATTGCACCCAGTTATCACCTGCTGTGGCCCCGCACACGCTGCGGCGTTCGGTGGTCAGCACTGCGCCGCCCCTGGTCACCACAGGCGCCCTGCCCAATGTGCTACACGCGAGCATGACTTGTTTATGCTGAAGACCGTTTATGGTGTTGCTGCTCCTCGACTGCTCTTTTCTCTGGAGTCGTCAATCGAATTGCGCCAGTGCTTCGCGCGGAGAGGTGCAAGTGCAGCTAGTGTTTATTGTTGGTATCTCTATTTGATCAGTCCGCATTGAATCCAGTGGCCTTGAGACAAATGAAAAAATACACAAAGAGATCTAGATCCCGCCATCCTTGAATACACGCAGAAACAGGTGCCTCACAACCGTAGCGTCACACTCATACAGCCTATAGACATCACTATACCTGATGTCAGTCGTCTGCCATCGCCGCCGACTGCAGCTGCGTGCGCCGCGACATGCCCCGCAGCCCGAGCACGACGGCGGGGTTGCATGTGCAGAGGAGCTATTCGCGCCTGCCCTAGACAATCCGCAGCACCCGCCAAAACAGCAGCAGCAGCAGCAGCAGCTTCCGCAGCACCTGCTAGAGGACCAGGCCGCCCCGCCTCCAAGGGCGGGCCAAACACCGCCTCACCAGCAGCTCGAGCCCCTCACCTGCGCCGCCGAGCTGCTCGACCGCCTCCCCGCCGGCACCCTTCAGCGGCTGCAGCAGCTGCCGGCCGGCTTCCGCCCTTGCGACCTCGTTCGGGAGCTGCAGGCGGCGCTGGGGCCCTCCCTCAAAGTGGTGCAGGCGCGGCCCCCGCCGCTGAGGCCTCGGCGGCGGCCGCGGCAGCAGCAGCCGCACCCGGACGAGCAGCCGCAGGCGCGCGCGTGGCAGGTGCCGCTGCTTTCACGCCAAGCACCACCCTGGTGTTTTCATGCGGTTGCGCGCGGCGCAGATGCGGCCGCAGCCTCTGACGAGTCGCCGCTCCCGCCATTGCCGCTGCTCCTGATGCCGCTAGAGGCGCAGTCAGTGTCTGGCGCCAGCAGTCATAGGGGCGTGGCGCTGGAGTTTCACCTGACCCTCTTGCAGCAGCTTGACGGCCTGGGCTGGGGCTCGGTGGTCGCCCTGAGCCAGGTGCCTTTGTGCTTCCACCGCTCAGTTTCCCACCCAGCACTGCTGGTATCCTAGTGCGCCGGCCGCCACCTGGCCGCGCCTTGTCATGCGGCGCGTGGTCCTCCGCTGCTGGGTTAGGCAGCGGCCGGGTGGCCGGCTGCAAAAGCCCCAAACATTGGTGTCGCTTTTTTCCAACCCCGGTGTCGGCCGCTTGTGTGCAGGACTTGCGGCGCCTGGCTCTGCAAATCGAGGACACGGCAGGTGAGGACATACAGAAGCTCATGTGGTTACGTTTTGCCTCCGGGCAATACCCCCTTGCCCCTCACATGCCTGCTGGTGATATGCTCTCCACGACGAGGAAAGGAATCGGAATGTCGTCACACCCGCGCCGATCCGCGGTAGCCGACAAGTGCGCACCACCGATGCGCGCCGCCGCAGGCCGCCCCCATCTGCTGCGCGTGCAGCTGCCCGGCAGCTTCCCGGCCTCGGCGCCCTCCGCTTGGATGGACCTGCCGGAGCCCTTTGGGTTTTCGTGGGGCCCCGGCAGCAGCACACTGGTGGCGGTGGCGCGGCATGCGCGACAGGTGCGCATCAACAGGCTGCTTTTTGAGCGAATTGTGCATCCCTCTGATGCCACCAGCATTTAGATTCCCCCTCCGCGCCCCCCACACCTGCTGCTGCACCCTTCTCGCTCAATTTTTGGCAGGCCCTCGCCCGCTACCAAGACCTGTGGGCTGTCCTTGAGCAGCTGGAGGGCAGCTGCCGCGTCCTGGACCCCCCAGAGGCCCGCAACCGCGCGCAGCAGCAGCTGAGCGATTGGATCGACGGCGGCGGCGGCGGCGAAGCGGGCGGCGAGGCGGGTTCTGCGTCCCCATGCGCGGGGCCCGCGGGCTGGTTCGGCCGCTGCAGCCGCCGGCTCTCGCTGCCGCGCGGGGCAGGTTGCCTCGAGCTCGCCTTCTCCCCAGCCGCCCCCCGCGCCCTCCCCTCCGCCACCTTTTCCGGCGGCGGCGCCGCGGCGGCGGAGCTGCAGCGGCGCTGGTGCGCGGGCGCGGCGGCGGGGTGGACGCAGGGCGCGGCGCCGGGGGACAATTTGGCGGCGGTGCTGCAGCTTGAGCTGCCGGCGCCCGGGAGGCAGCAGCTGGCCTGGCTAGAGGACCTGCGGCGGCCGATCTCATTGGCTTCGCATGCAGAGGCAGCCGCGCGGCAAGGCGGCGGCGGCGGCGGTGGTGATGGCGCCACGGGGGCGGCCGCGCATGGCCATGCGGATTCGCGGATGGGGCCGCCCGGCGATGAGGGGATGCGTGACGGCGACGGCAGCGCCAGCGACGCCAGCAGCAGCAGCAGCAGCGGGGACGAGGAGGAAGACGCCGGCGCCTGCGGCATCTGCTACGCGGTGCTGCTGCAAGATCCCTCCGCGCCTGCGGACCAGCCGGGTGAGACCCGGGGCCACACCCTTTAGACAGCACTGCGGGTGTCCCTGTAGCCTGCGCCCTGGACCTTGATCCTGTGGGGCATCTGCCTGGCTAACGGCGGATCGCGCCGTGACAGAATGCCGCTCTCCTCATGCGGTCGTAAGCACGACCAGCAACCACACCCACCACCCGACCCCCACCCCCTCGCCCCGCAGGCGACGTGCCGGACGCGAGCTGCGACGCGGTCGAGGGCTGCGCGCGCCCCTTCCACGCGCGCTGCCTGGCGGAGTGGCTGCGCGGCCTGCCCAACAGCCGGCGCTGCTTCTCGACGCTCTTTGGGGCCTGCCCCTACTGCTCTGCACCGGTGGCCGTGAGGACGTGATGACGTCACTCGGCTGCAGACTGGCTGCCGGCCCGCCCGACAGTAATGCAACGAACGCTCGGAGCCTGTGGCTAGGAACCTCTGGGTTGCTACAGTGTATTGTGTGGTTGCAAAGCATCATCTGGGAGGCCTCGGGACAAAAATGTGGGGATAAAGGCGAGCACAAGCGTATCACGCATCCGGGAGGCACCGAGAGGTTGGTTGTGACACAGAGCAGGGGTGGGAGGAGCGGGGCAGGCCAAGGGGCGAAGGGCATTCAAATGGCCTAGCAGCCAAAAGACTGCGGTTGCAGTTTTCCAGAACATCCCCTCACCCCTAAGGAGGGATAATTGTGAGAAAATGTGCCAGCATAGCAAGCCGCGCACAAAGAACAGGCGGAGCAGGATGGTGGGATACCAGGAAGAATACGCCCCGGTGTGATGGCGCGCCCTGGAAGCCAACAGGACACATGCGTGAAATCCTGCGCGCAACTGACCCCCACACATGTCACCTGAGGGCCGCGGCCGGGGTGAGAATCACGCGCGCCCGCCTTACGACGTCACACCCAAAAGACGGCGTTTCGTGCCCGCAGCGGCGCGAGCGCGGAGCAGACGGCGCGGCAGTCGTTGCGTCGCGACAGTCGCAGCTCAGAGAGGCCCCCCAGCGACGCTAGCGCCCGAGCCTCGTCGGCGCCGACCCCCACGCACGCGGCGCCGAGCGCCCGCAGCTGCCTCAGCCCGCGCGGCGGCTGCGGCAGCGGCGCGGCCGCGGCGCAGGCCTGCGCCGCGGGCGCAGCGAGGGCGCCGTCTGGCAGGACGCCCTCCAAAACAGACTCGTCGTTCAGTGACACGTCCAGCGCGCCAAACCGCGCAACGCCGCCCGCCAGCGCGCGCAGCCCCGCGGCCGTCAGGCCCGTGGCGGCGGCGTCCAGCCGCGCCAGCCGGTCCAGGCGGGCCAGCGCGGCAGGGCCGGTGTTGGCGGGCGCCATGCAGAGGTTGTGGGCGAGGTCGAGGGACTCGAGGCGCGTGAGGGACGCGGCGAGGCGGGGCACTGCCTCAGGGCCGATCCAGTTGCCTGGCAGCGACAGGCAGCGCAGGCCGGTCAGCGCGGTCAGGGCGGTGGCGGCCTGCGGCGGGGTTTGAGGGGGAGAAGGGATAAAGGAGGGGGTGGCGAGAGGGCGGTCTGTTGGCGGGAATGTGAAAGGGCGACTTGGCACGATGGGTTTGACATGGTATCGACTGGGCCGAGGATGTTGGGGCGGCAGTTCAGGGGTCAAACGTTACCTGTTGATTAATCGAGGCCAATGACATCGCACTGTCAAACCCTTTAAACTGTCGTACAGGGGTGAGAGCGGTCGCTGACATCAGCACATGCCACGGCACATGGCCCAACCAGCAGCCCCCACCTCTGTCCCAATGTGGCACCAGCCCAGCCGCAGGCTCTCCAGGTTGGTGAGCACCGCCAGGCCACGCGCGCCCGCGGGGCCAACGCCGCGGCCCGCCAGGTCCAGCTGCCTGCGGTCGTGGGTGTCCGCATGCACCCAGTAACGGGGGCGTTCCATGTCAGAAAGGTTTGTAGCAAGGCGATCCTCTCAGCAAAGCAGTGCGAGGGCTTGGCGACCTCGACAGACACACAGCAAAGCGCCGCGGCGCTACAAATGGCCGACTCAAGACGTTGCCAGAGCGCGGCGGCACCCGCTGCACACAGCAGAAGGGGCTCTTGAAATCACAGTGTGTGACAGATGTTTTCGTGGCCGTGATCACCTGAGCTGCCCGAGCCCGGCGGCCAGCGCCGCTGCGCCCTCCGCGCTCACGTCCACCCCAGCAGGTACGACGAGCTCCCTCAGGCCCGACAGGCGCCCGATGAGCCGCCCGATCTCCGAGGTCAGCAGCCGCTGCGGCGGCGGGGGTTCCGGCCGGAAGTACGCGATGCAGGGCGGGACGTCCCTGGTCGCACCATGGGGGTCGTTGTCATGGTCGTTGTACGCGGCCGCTGACATCAGCGTGCAGCAGTTGATGATCCTCAGGTGCTGCAGGCTCGGGAAGCGCGCCGCGACACTGGGCAGGACCCGCAGGTACTGCCTGGTGCGTTGGGCCAGAGGTGGGTGGCAGAAATCAGGGCAGAGGTGCAGGGTGAAAACCAAACGTAGATGAGGCAGGGCCGACAGAGCTGACAGGGGCAGTAGCGGGGTGGGTTGGGCCGTTCAGGCGGCCAGGTCCCACAATACGAGCGCCCTCAGTGCTCGCATCACATGGCAGGCCGGCCGCTGCCTACCAGGGCAGCGCCAGCCGCAGCACCCCGTGGCGGTACGCCGCATTGGCCGCGCGGCACGCGGTGCCCAGGCCGCGCCGCGCGCCGCCGTCGAGGACGTTGAACAAGATGGGGAAGACGTCGCAGATCTCGGAGGGGCGGGCGGCGGTCGCTGCTAACCTGGCGGGGACCCCGTCTTGGTCGAGATGGCCACCGCCCGCTTTTTGCGGTGTGCGGCGCTTGAGGACTACGATCCCACCGCCTGCGGCGCACACGGCATATTGTTGCAAGTATTTGAGTGAGGGGCATGGTGCTCTCTGAGTGCGCACCTATGACACTAGCGTACACGTCCGCTCGCACGCCACAACTCGCAGCGCGGTGTGCAGTACGCGCAACGCCGCCATTGCGCTCTTTGAATAGATCATCCAACGAGGCCTGCACACCTTCGAGCTGAAACAACACCTCGCTGATATCTCTGGCACGCTTCATGATATTATATGGTGTCCGCGGACGGGCGTATGATATTTGTGAGAAGGACTCGCTTGCTTGTCTTAGATCTCGACAGAGATTGGAAGCACAGGCTTGAATTTGATTACGAATATCAAGTTTGGTGAGCACGTGTTTGGATCACGCCGACAAGCTGCCATTGAACGGTGGCTGGTCAACAGGTCAACGTGGTTGCCACTCGTGCAGCCAGCAGATGCGGCAAATCCGACGTTTGAAGATGATTTTTGAGTATGATGCAGGCCTGAAAGGTGTTCAAGAGTGCAACAAAGCAACATAAAGCTGTGACAGTTGCCAGCGAGACTACCGCCAGCCAGCAGCCTGGCTGCCCCCTCGGCCCACGCTCAGTGCAAATTTGGTGTACAACCGTAGCGCAGAATGTGCGAAGTTTTGTGGTGGAGTTTGCCTGCCACTCTCTGATGCCTACGTTAGCCCTGCTCTTCGCATGACCCCCACATCCTGCTCCACCGCCACAAATGCGTGCGAGCCATCTGCGCAAACTTGAGAACAATAGGACCTCTGTTGTGATCAAGGCAACATGATCCAAGTCAATGATTACACGCATTCCACATGACACCCGTCCCAGTACATGGTATGAAGAAGGTAGATGGCGCCGTTCACCATGTCGTTTGTGTTGACGTCGCCCTCAACGCAGCCGCTGCCTCGCCAGGATACGTGGCGCAGAAGTGGCCCAAATGAATTATATTGCCTTGTAGCACAGCATAGTGCACGCCAATGGACAGTACACGCTGCCTCGCGAACGCCCACCATGCAGCAAAAGCAGCTCGCCCTGCTGACATGAGCAGGGCTCCGGGCAGCCCAGCAGAATCCGCTCCGGTGAATGTTGCTGCACTTGATGCTTTTACTGCAAGCATCAGCTTAATTCATCGTAATGGCCACTGCCCAGATCAAACGCCGGCACCGTCGTCCCGTATCGTGTACAGTACACTCGCGCTCTGCGCCACGCACTGCTCACGTACTATGCATGTAATAACGGCACGTGTATAGCTAAGTATGACGGTGCAGGTGGCCCCTGGCGCAGACCTGCCGCAAGACGTGCACAGGGCGGACGGCGCCATCACCGTCGCTGCTGGCGACCCATGCCGCCTGCTGGACCTCCCCCGCCCCCTGCTCACAGCGATTGCGCTCTGCTGCAGCAACCCGACCAGCTTCTTCGCGTCGTGCCCCGCGCTGCGCGCTGTGGGCGCTGACCCTGCCGTCGAGCTACAGTGGTTCCTGCAGCACCGCCCGCGCCCGCGGCTCCTGCCATACGCCGCCACGAGCTTCCATCGCCTGGTCGGGCGCCGCCCCTTTGAGGACTTCTTCGCCTTCACCCGCCGTGCTCTCGCCGCCGCCGCGCCTGGCGCCTGTGATGCATCATATGAGCGCGCGATGCGCAAGGCTGAAAGGTCGGTCATTGGATGCGTGCGGGGCCGCGGATCCATGCGGCGCGTGCGCACGCGCTGCCAGCCTGCGTGACCTGCTGCGCAGCGTGTGTCGCTGGCATGCGTGCGCATGCGCCCGCCATGAAAGCCTTCACTGTCTCACCTCGCTGCGCTGCCAGGGCCGTGCGCGGCGCCTACCCTTTGCTGGCCGCGCTGGCGCTTGTGGGCAATCCCCAAATGGCTTATGTCGAGCTGCTGGCAGCTTACGCTGCAGGGGCCGGCAACGCCGAGATCGTCCGGCTGGCCGCGAGCATGCCCTCTCAGCTGCGCGTGAGGGCGACACTGAGCGTCGGCGGGGGCTGGAGCGCCAACTGTGAGCGCGGGCGGCATGGCAAGCGCGGCTGCGGGCAGCGTTGGGCTGTGTTGCATGCTCTGCGCCCCTGCAGCAGAGTTGCCTGCCTGAAGTCGCCGTGCACCTTTGCCTGCCGCGCCCTTGGCCCACCTGTGGTGGCAACGTCTGGGTCACGGACGTTTTTAAGGCCTTTGCCCTTCTCCTCCCCTCCTTTCCTCAAAACAAACATACACGCGCAGTGTGCACACACACTTGCACACACATGCATGCACGATCTCATACAGACACACTCTCTTATACACATACGCACACAAACACACACACACACACTCACGCGAACACATGCACGCTCTCTCACCCAGACGCCTTCTCGTACAGGCGCACTTACTGACACTCATGCGCACACCCACCCACTTGCTCCACATGCGCCCTGACTGCCCTCGCAGTCGCTGCAACCGCCGCAAAGCAGGCCGTCATCAAGGGGCACACTCACATGGTGCCACACCTGCTCACCTGGCTAGATAGCTGCAGCCGCGAGCATCGCGCTCTCCTGCAGCACGCGGTGATGCAGGGGCACCCGGACTGCCTAGGTCAGGTCCTCATCTTGGTGAGTGCGCGTCACCCGGGCGCCACTCGGGTGACATGCATCGCGAGTCCACCGGCTGCTCTGCTGCCGCAGCACACCATTCTGGATGCCGGGGCATCTCGCGAACGGCGCGGGCGCCACGGATCTTGTGTACTGCATTGCGTCACCAAGTACCCCGCGCCTTCCGGCCATCCCCATCGCTGACTTCACCACACTGACCCTCGCATCCCGCTGTCCGCTGTCCGCTGCCCCACCTCCTTCAGGCCCAACGCTGCGAGGTCGGCCGCCACCACGTGGCGTGGGCGGCGGGGCGGCGCGACGCGCATGCAGAGGAAATGCTGCAGGCGGTGGTGCGGCTGGTCAGGCCCCGCGCCATGCAGTGGCCCCCGCACATCTGGACGGGCGAACCCAACTGGCTGGACGCGTCGCAGCTCGACGCGCCGGGGTTCTGGTCCGAGGCGCTGAAAGCGGCAAGCGCCTCCGGCGGCGCCAGCATGGGCATGCTGCGCGTGCTGGGCGAGCGCGTCGCGCCGCTGGGCGCACTGTGGCGGCTGCTGTATGCGGCCGTGGCAGGGCCCCAGGCGGACCCGCCGCCGCTGGGGCCAGCGTTGCTTGGCTACCACAGGCGGAGCGCTGGTGAGCTGGCGCAGCTCTCGCCGCCGCCTGACGCATACTTTGAGCGCGTGGTGGGGCTTGTGGAGGAGCTCGTATTTGAGCAGCGGCAGCGGGCGGAGCAGCAGCTGGGGCAACATGTAGGAGGGCAGGCACAGGAGCGCAAGGCGCACGAGCAGCCCCAGCAGCATCACCAGCAGCCGGAAGCGCCGCAGCTGCCTGGGCGGCAGCCAGCCGCCGGCTGCGCCGGCGGTACCGCGCCCTACCAGGGTGTGGCTGCGGCGCAGCTGGCTTTCATCGTTCGAGGGGGCCTGCAGCTGTTGGCTGCCAGGTTCCAAACGGCAGCCCAGAGGGGCGAGTGGCTCCGCGCCGCCCCATCGTGGGCTGAGGCTCTGAATGCACGGCTGCGGGCACTGGCGCTGGAGGGGACGGAGGCAGAGGGCGGCGCAACGGCCGCCGACGCCGCTGTGGACGCTGCCCGCTGGGGCATCGCGACGGCAGCGGCGCGGGCGGACCGCGTGGAGTTGAAGGCGGCCCTGCGCGAGTGGAGGCGCGCCAGCGGTGCGGCGCCGTGCGCGCCGCCGCCGCGCGTGCGGCGCCAGCGCGCGATGCTCTCGGCGGCGCAGCTGCTGGAGTGCGTGTTGGCGGCGCTCGCAACCGGTCACACAGGCCGCGTCGAAGCGCTGCTGGCGCTCGCAGGCCGCATCGGCGTTGATTGGTGCACGCTGCCTGACCCCGACTGCTCTGCCCTTGGGCCCGTGCTCCCGGGAGCCTTTCTAGGCGCCTCGCCGCCCATCCGCTGCGCCGGCTGGCTGCTGGGCGCCAAGGAATGGCATGAGTGGCCGTTGAACAGCGTGCTGTGGGCAGTCAACAGCGGCTGGCTGCCGCTGCAGACCTTTGTGCGGCTCTTAGGACAGCGCGACTTGCCCCCTGGCGACTGGGGCCCCGGCCTGGCCCTGGCCGGCAGCCGGCGCGTCGTGGAGCTGTCAGAGCCGCTGCTGCCAGCGGTGCGCCTATGGGTGCTCGCCAAGTCGCTGCTCCTCTGGGCGGTGCGGCAGCCGCACGGGGCCGGCGGCCGCACACCGGCGCGAGGCGGCGTCAAAGTCGGCGGCGAAAGCGGCGAAAGCGGCGGCGGCGGCTGCCGCGGCTTTGACGAAGGCGGCCGCGACACACCGTTGGGGCTGTTTGAGTTGGCCGAGTTGCTCCAGGACGCGGGGCACGTCTCACACGTGCAGAGGCACGACTTGTTCTTCGAGTGGCGCAATCGGCAGCGGCAGCCCCATGGCCACCAAGCGCGCCAGGTGGCCGAGGAGTTTGGGCTGTGGGTGCGGCGCCACCCTCTGCGCGGAGCACCCGCGGCGGCGGCGCCCGCAGGCGGCGAGGCGGGCGGCGGCGGCGGCGGCGAGGCGGGCGGCTGGAGGGATGAGGAGAGCGGCGGGGTTCCCGGCAGCGGCTGCTTGGTCCCCATCAGCAGCGAGCATCTGACCGACCCTGCGCCAGCGGATGTTGTGTGCAGCTTAGACCCCGCGATTTTTGTCATGCCAGGCCCCGACGCCCCTGCGGCCGCCCGTGCGGCCGCGCTCCGCGCCGCGGCAGCGTGGCTGCGTGGCGCCCTCACGCGTGAGGCGGCGCTCTGTGAAGCCATGCGGGCCGAGGCCAGGGCAAGCGTGGCGCGCATGCCGCCCGGGATTCCAGCTCGGTGCGCGTGGCTGGCGCCGCAGGAGCACTGGGAGCTGCTGCTCGCTGCGGCGCAGCGCCGCGACATCAAAACGCTGACCTTGCTCTCGGAACTCGGCCAGCCGGCCGACACCTCTATCGCCTCGGCGGCGGCCTCCAACGCGCTCGCCGCCGCAGCAGCAGCAGGCGCGCTCGACCTGCTGCCGGGGCTGCTGGCGCCCCTGGTTGCCGCCGCCGAGGCAGAGCGCGCCGGCGGCGGCGAGCAAGGCGCGGCGCAGGGTGCGCTGCTGCGAGCGGTACGGCATGCGCGCCCGCTCACGGCCGCGCGGGACGACGCGCCGATCGACGAGGTGGTAGAGGCTGCACTCCTGCTGCTGCGCGCCGCAGAGCACGCAGGCAGCGCGGAGGGCGAGCGCGTGCTGGCGGTCGACTGGCTGGGGCCAGAGGCGCCGCGCCCCCCCACGTTGCCGCCGTCCGCGCACTTGGCGCTGCGCGCGCCGGCGGGCGCCGGCGGCGCCGTCGCGGCGCGCGTCAAGGCGCTGCTGCTGCGCATGTGGCGCGACAGGCTGGAGGCGGGCGAGGGCGCGTCGCCGCTGCCGCCGCCGTTTGGCGCAAGGTGGGCGCGCAAGGCGACGTTCAAGCTGGTGGCCAACGCGGGCAGTGGCGGGGACGCGGATCTGATGTTCGCCGCAGTGCAGTGGGCGCGGCAACTGAATGAGTGGCGGGCGGCGGGGCCGGGCGGGGCCGGCGGGGAAGGCGGGGCTGGCGGGGTTGGCGCATAGCTCACGGCGTACGCGGCCTGGCGGCTTGACCCGGCGCCGCAGCTGGCCACTGATCGCCCGCGTCGTAATGGGCTTGGATGTTCCCGGTGGCGCACTCAGCCCCAGGGCCGCTCTGCAGTGTGACCGCATGAATTAGCCTTTTGAACGACTTGCTGCCTGTTTGAGAGGGGGGGGCGCGGCGTCGCCGTCATGAGCCGCTGCCCAGCCATGGGCGGCTGCCACAGCCTCATCAAACCTGGCTCGCTCTGAGCGATTCCCAAGCAGGGGCATCACTTTCAGTCTTCACTACCGTCCTCGGGGACGTGGGAGCGCCCGTCCATCTCCCGCAGCGGGCGCTCCGCTGCCGCCGCAGCTGCGGGGGTCCTCGCTGCCGCGCGCCCCGGCGCGGCGAGCCTGGCGTCCTGCTGGGCCCCTGCTCGGTAAAACAAAGCGCGGCGGCGGCTGCAAGGGCACTGCAGCGGGTGTGCGATGGCGGAGGCGGCGGCACCTGCCTGCTTCACGAATGCACATCTAGATGCTGCGGTGGCCTAGCCTCCAGGATTAGGATTAGGATTGTTACAGCGTCCTGCGGTCGCCCGCTCCTGGAGCCATCCAGGCTCATGGGATTGTACAGTAAAGCACCTCCAGACAGGGCAGCCCCTGTCGGGCCACCTTGTCTCTCAAGGAGGGATGCTTACGGTTTTTTGTAAAATTGGCCCAGTTTAGCAAGCTTGCACGCAAAGAGAGCAGGCAGAGCAGCACGATGGGTTTTGAAGAATCCTTGCGGGTGTAACGGTGCTCCCTGAAAGCAAACGTGGCACATGTGTGGAGCCCTGCGCACAATCGGCCCTGACAGCTGTCTGCTTGCAGAGAATGAGGTGAAAAGCGCACGCGCCCGTCCCTGGGCGCCACACCCAACATATTGCGCTCTGCATCCGCAGCGGCGCAAGCGTCAGAGCTAGCAGACGGCGCGGCAGTTGTTGCCCGCGACAGCAGCAGCTCGGAGCCCGCCATCTTCAAGCCAGCAGATGTTTCATAACTATAGTTCAAGTATGGCTTTGGGTTGCTGCTGGCTTGAAGGATGGCCAAGAGGGCGAAACTGGCAATTCGAAATGGGGGCAGTTGCCAGCAATTGGACCGTGCCGCCAGCAACAAGCCTTGGCTGCCCCCTTCGGCTGCGCTTTGCCGGGGTCCTCGCCGCCGCCCGCCGCGCGCCGCCCGCCGCGACGCAGCGAGCCTGGCGTTCTGCTGGACCCGCACTCAGCAGAGCGAAGCGCGACGGCGGCAATCAGCAGAGCAAAGCGCAGCCGAGGCTGCAAGAGCAGTGGCAGCTGCAGCGCGTGTGCCTATTTTGTTGCTGCGATGGCGGAGGCGGAGGCACCCTGTCTGTTTCAGGAATCTGAATCTTGACGCGGCGGCGGTCTAGTCTTCTGACAGGGCAGTGCTTCTTGGGCCAGCTCCTCTCCTAGGGAGGGATGATTACGGTTATTTGAATCACAATCTGCCAGCATAGCAAGCCACGCATAGGAAGCAGGCATAGCAGGAAGATAGGATTGAAAGAATCCTTGCATGTGAAAGAGCGCGTCCTGAAAGCAAACATGACACATGTGTGGAGCCCTGTGCACAATCAACCCTGGCAGCTGTTGTCTGGTTACGGAGACTAAGGTGAAAAGCGCCTGCGCCCGTCCCTTGGCGTCACACCCAACAAATTGCACTCCGCGCCGCAGCTGCGGCGCGAGCGTTAATGAAGCAGACGGTGCATCAGTTGTTGCGCCGCGACAGCCGCAGCTCGGAGCCCGCCATCTTGCAGCTGGCAGATGGCGCTTTTCTATAATTGAAATAGGTTTTAGTTTGCTGCGAGCCTGAAGAATGGTCAGGGGGCAAAAAACCAACTTCAAAATGTGGCAGTTGCCGGCGGTTGGACCACACCGGCAGCCACAAGCCCCTCTTGCCCCCTTCGGCTACGCTCAGCCCAAATGAGGATGTCGACTGTGGCGCGAAGAGCGCGGGTCTATGTGGCGGAGCTTGCCTGCCACTCTCAGCAGGGCCACCGCCGCTGCAGCCCCGCTCTGCGCCTGACCCCCACATCCTGGTCCACCGCCACACATGTGTTCGAGCGCCCTCCACACACTTTGCAACACACAAACTGCTCCTGTGATCAGGGCAACGCACATCAAGATATCGGCTGCATGCATTCAACATGACACCCTTGAAAGGGAATTGCAAGAAGGAAGACGGCGCCGTTCACTTCAGCAGGTCATGTCGTTGACCTGGCGCTGAGCACCTGCGGCCACTGCCTTGCCATACAGTGCATGATGCGTCGGAACTAGGCCGTAACTGGCCTGCACAAGCTTCGAGCCTGCACAACAGCATACTGCATGCCAATGGACAGCTCACGCTGCCTCATGCATGGCCAGCGTGCAGCACATGGTACCAGTACAAGCAGTCTGAGCTGTCCTGCAACCGACATGAACGGTTGCACAGGGTCGGGCCCGCTTCTTTTCACATGTTGTTTCAGCTACAAGCATCAGCTCCACTTCTATTCATGTTAACTGCTGAATCAACGGTGCTGTCACACCGTATGCAGAACACAGTACCGGACGGTATCCGGTGCGATCTGACGCACCGCACCACGAACTGCGCACCTACCTACGTATCACAGCTCACTATATAAAGCTGATACAGATATGGCCGCGAAGTTGGCCGCTGGCGCCGAGCTGCCGTCACATATGCCCAGTGTGGACGGCGCGGCTGCGCTTGGCGATGGCGATGGCGATGGCAATGACGGGAGCCTCCTGCTAGACCTCCCCCGCACCCTCCTCACGGCAATCGCGCTCTGCTGCAGCAACCCGACCAGCCTCTTTGCGTCGTGCCGCACACTGCGCGCGCTGGGCGCGGACCCCGCCGTCGAGCTGGTGTGGTTCGTGAGAAACCGCCCGCGCCCGCGGCTCCTCCTGTACGCCGCCGCGAGCTTCCATCGCCTGGCCGGACGCCCCTTTGAGGATTTCTTTGCCTTCATGCGCCGGGCGCTCGCCGCCGCCGCGCCTGGTGCCTGCGATGAGCGCGCAACGTGCACGGCCGAAAGGTCGGTCGCCGCATCCGCGCATGGGGCGGGGGCGGTTTGCATGCGGCACGGGTTGCATGCGGCAAGCTTCGCATGCGGCGCGGTTTGCATGCGGCACGGGTTGCATGCAGCGCGTTTTGCATGCGGCGCGGTTTGCATGTGGCGCTAGCTGCGTTGCGTGTGTCGCAGGGATTCGTGCGCATGTGCCCCCCACCAAGTTCATACCCTCACTGGCGGGCAGCATGTTCGCCCCAGCCCTCACTGCTTCATCGCCCTCTCGCCGCCGCCAGGGCCACGCGCGGCGCCTACCCACTGCTGGCGGTGCTGGCGCTCGCGGGCCCTCCCAGGTTGGCTTACGTCGAGCTGCTGGCAGCTTACGCTGCAGGGGCCGGCAACGCCGACGTCGTCCGGCTAGCCACGCGCATGCCCTCCCTGCTGCGAGAGGAGACTAACCTGAGCACTGGCACTTGCTGGACCGCCAACTGTGAGCGCACGCGCGGCGTGCCAAGCGCGGCCGCCGGCAGCGGCGGGCTGTGTTGCAAGCGCTGTGCCTGCAACAGCGTCGGCTTCCCTGAATGCGCCTTGCGCCTGCGCTTGTCGTGCCCTTGGCCCTGTGATGTCAGCGCCTGGGTCGCGGCCGTTTCCTCCCCCTATGGCCCTTCTCGTGTCCTCCCCTCACCAAAGGCAAACACACACACACACACACACCCGCACACACCCACACACACACGCATGCACGCTCTCCTGTACAGACACACTTACTTACACACATACACACGCGTGCACACACTTACCTGCTCCACACGCGGCTTGGCTGCCCCCCCAGTCGCGGCGACCGCCGCCAAGCAGGCCGTCATCAGAGGGCACACGCACATGGTGCCGCACCTGCTTACCTGGCTAGATTGCTGCAGCCACGAGCAGCACGTGCTCCTGCAGCACGCCGTGATGCAAGGGCACCCGGAATGCCTTGAACAGGTCCTCATCCTGGTGAGTGCGCGTCACCCAGGTGTCACCCAGGTGACGCGATAAGAGCGCGTCCACCCGCTGCCCCGCTGCTGCCGGACACCACTCTGGGTTCTGGGGCGTCTCGCAGCGGCCGGGGGCAACACGGGTCCTGCGCACTGCATGTCATTTGAACACACCGCGCACCCCATCACCATCCCCACCGCTTACCTCCCCACACTCAACCCCGCATGCCGCACCCCACCCTCCTCCAGGCCAAGGGCTGCGAAGCCGGCCGCCACCACGTGGCGTGGGCGGCGGGGCGGCGCGACGCGCATGCGGAGGAGATGCTGCAGGCGGTGCTGCGGCTGGTCAACCCGCGCCCCATACAGTGGTCCAGGAAAATTTGGACGGGCGACCCCAACTGGCTGGACGCATCGCAGCTTGATGCGCCGGGGTTCTGGTGCGAGGCCCTGAAAGCGGCGAGCGCCTCCGGCGGCGCCAGCATGGGCATGCTACGCGCGCTGGGCGAGCGCGCCGCGCCGCTGGGCGCGCTGTGGCGGCTCCTGTACGGGGCTGTGGCTGGG